GTGGATACTGAGGAACAGCTGTACTTGATGTGAACTTCTGGCACAGTTAGTGATTTGTAGTAGGTGTCATTCAGCAGAAAGATATGATCTATTTCTCTATGATACATGTATCTGGCATTGGTGTTTTGGGAGTGCCTACTCCTGGGGCTGTGAAGGATTGGGGCCGGTGAAAATTGTCTGTTAAGGTCTGGAGGGTCTAAGCCACCAAGCTTGTCCTCATCTGAAAAGATACTCTGCAATAAACTGTGCCATTCTGTTTTGTGGGATGAGTAGCCGTTGCTCACCTAATGGGCAAAACTGTTTACACAGTATTGGGTTTCTGTAACATGGGCCCTTTTTCTTTGGAAATCCCTCAGACTGATGGTCATATTTTTGTTGAGGAAGATTTTATGTTAGTCTCTTCTCCCCTGCTTCCTTTTAAAACTATTATCTAAAAATTAGAAACGTGGTAACTAAAGTGTTAAATTAAAAAGAAAAAAAGTATATCCTGCTCCACCGCTTATCTTCACAATGACCTCAACATGTATCATGCTTGATACCAAACTCTTAACAGAGATATGACTAATTAACAATTTTATGTTTATACAACCCTTATCTTCTGTAGTCATCGTAACTCTTCCCTCTGTGTACTGTTACCTCCGTGACTGTCCTTGGAGCAGTTTGGCTGGTCATGTGCCCAGACGGCACCAAGTAAACAAGTGGGTCACAGGTGGTTTTCTGAAAACGTGCGTGTGGAGAGTGGCGAGGCAGGACCCGGCCGGCATGAGCTCTGTGCTCCTTGTGTGTTGGCACCGAGATCCTGAGTACCATTTCTCTTCCGTCCTTAACCTGCCCATGGCCCACGGCTATTCTCTGCCCTGCAGTTAAACCCTGTTCATAGCACTGTAATAACTTATGAATAAACCTGGCTACTAATTGTTTATACTCAGGTTTTTTTTGTTTGTTTGTTCCATTTCTGGTTTTGCATAAAGAAAGGGGATCCTAGTTTCATTTGAGGAGAAGGAAATGGCAACCCACTCCGGTATTCTTGCCTAGAGAATCCTGTGGACAGAGGAACCTGGTGGGCTGCTGTCCATAGGGTTGCACAGAGTCGGAAGTGACTTTGCATGCATGCATACATTGGAAAAGGAAATGGCAACCCACTCCAGTATTCTTGCCTGGAGAATCCCAGGGATAGAGGAGCCTGGTGGGCTGCTATCTATGGGGTCGCACAGAGTTGGACACGACTGAAACAACTTAGCAGCAGCAGCAGCAGCTCCATTTGAAGTTCAGATCCAATCATGATCTATGTTCAGTACATAATTTTGAAGGAGACACCCAGAGTGAGGGGAATAGGAACAGTTTTAGTTGACATTTATTATTATTAGTATTATTTTTTTAAAGATCTTAGTGAAAAAAAAAAAAGATCTTAGTGAGAAAACAGAAAGAGAAAGGGAGGTAGAGGTGTGGGAAAGATGGGATTTAGAGAAGAGAGATGAGGGATTTCTGTAGTGGTCCAGTGGCTTAGACTCTGAACTCCCAATGCAGGCGGCCCAGGTTCCATCCCTCATCAGGGAACTAGATCCCACATACTGGAACTAAGAGTTTGCAGGCCACAACTAAGAAATCCCACATGCTGTAACTAAGAACTGGCATAGGCAAATAAATGTTTTTTAAAAAAACAATTAAAAATAAAGAGGAGAGATGAAAGCTGATATAGAGGGCCTGCTGAGGTGGTTTTTGCTGAGAAAAGCTACTAGGACTTTTTTAGTGTTGAGAATGAGTAGAAGAAAGGTAATAATGAGGTGTTAAGCAGCTGTGCTATAATAAGTAGCTGAGGATCAAGAAAAGAACAGCACCAAGTAGATGGAAATAACCTTGGAGCAGCCAATAGGTGGAGAAAGTTATAAACCAGAGTCTTCTAGGGAAGCGTTGATAATAGTATAGTCAGCAAGTCTTAAGCAAACCATTTATACATAAGCTTCCTTCTGTCTTAACATTTGACTACATCTAGCTCAGATGGTAAAGAGTCTGCCTGCAGTGTGGGAGACCCAGGTTTGATTCCTGGGTTGGGAAGATCCCCTGGAGAAGGAAATGGCAAACCACTCCAATATTCTTGCCTGGAAAATCCCACAGATGGAGGAGCCTGGCAGTCTATAGCCCATGGGGTACCAAAGGGTCAGACACGACTGAGCGACTTCACTTTCACTTTTAGCACCTTTATTTGTCTGTTGTTGTTGTTCAGTTGCTAAGCAGTGACTCCATGGACTCTTGCAACCCCATGGACTGCAGGCTTTTATCTTAATGGAATGAAAGAAGGAACACTAAACTGGAGACCAGGTTCTAGTCCCTGCTTAGTCACTAACTAGTTGGGGTGGTGGTCGGGGGTTGTTTTTGAATCCAAAAATGAGGGAGTAGGATTAAATAACCTCTAAGGTCCTTTCTAGCTCTAAAAATTTTAAATCAACTGTGTTGAAGCCTCACAGACTTTGAACTCCCATCACATTGGGTCAGAGGATAGAAGACCGTGTGTGTATGTAGGACACTGAACAGCTGATAGAATGCTAAGTCAGAGAGATGTTGAACGAAAAAAGTGTTATATTATGGGATATTTGGGGTATTCCTTCTTAAAGCAGAATCATGGTTCATGATGTCAGAGGGAAGCCAATTTTAAGGTTACTTTGTTCATTTTAGCTGCCTTTTAAATTCCCTCTAGAGAATGGTGACTTCCAGGTAAGAAAACCCTGGCTTTTTTCAGAAGGTAGGGGGTCTGACCTGAATTGTCAGGGATAGAACGCAGGTTTTCCTGATACAGACTCTCAGAGTATTGCAGTGCTGGACTCTCCTTCTCAACACTGTTTGACTCTGCTGGCATCGGTGACAGTTGGAACTCAGGCCACCTCTTGGCCTGTGCTAGAATTGCTCTCTTCCTCCCCCTCATATTTATCACTTTGTCATCCCTGACTCTGAATCCCAGAGATCAAGGCTAGCTGTAGTCCAGCAGAGGAGCAATAAATCATTGTGCTCCCTTCCTTTTCTCCAGGTTTTCTACCCCTTAATTACCACATAACCACTGCTGAGGCTGCATCTTTGTGCTGCGTGTGCCTGGGACAAAAGCCTTCGTTGATTGGATGTGTACAAAAGCAGCTTTGTTTCTAGCTAGCCCTTGTGTTTTGTGGAATGCCACATGTATTACCCATCCTTTTTTCTTGTCTCCTGTGAATTTATAGAGTCTTACTGCCAGAAGATTTATCCATTAACAGGGCTTGTCTAAGCTCTGGGGTTAGTGGGGCTGGAGTGGGCAGCCCCATACACATAAGAAGAGAGATTTGGGGTGGGCGGCCCCATACACATAAGAAGAGAGATTTGGGCTGGGTTAGTCTTTTTCTTGGCCATGCTGCAGCTTGCAGGATCTTAGTTACCCAATCAGAGACTGAACCCAGGCCACGGCAGTGAAAGTGCCAAGTTCTAACTAATGGACTGCCAGGGAATCCCCATGGGTTAGTCATTTTTATGTGGGTTTTAGCTAGTCCCCTTCATTCTCTGAGCTCCTGGTAGGAGCTTAGTAGATTGTATGATCCAGAATGGTCTCCCATGGAGCTTTTTTGGGTCCAGTCCAATAGATGACTTGTTAACAGACAACATCAAAAGAGCCAGCTGCCTATCATTTGCCTTTCCATTGGGAAACCTCAGAGAACTTGAGTCAGGGTGAAGAGTTCATAAATGAGGATGCCTGCCTCCTTCAACCCTAGCAAGGATTTTTTTTTTTTCTATTTGAAGGGAAGAGTCAGGCTTTAGAAACAGAATGTAGACAAACTCTTATACTTTTCCTTGCCTGCTGTTTCTTTACTGTACCTGTGCTTTTAGAGGGTTGAGAGTGAGGGGTGTTGTGTGGCAGGCAGCAAGTGTCTGGAGAGACTTACTCCTACTCATCATTCCCTGCTGTTTCAAATCTAAGCTTACATCTCTTTTCTAAGAGTAGTAAACTTCACACAAAGCTCAGATGAGAGAATGGACTTCTCTGCTGACAAAAAAGCAGGTATGGTCTTAGGAAAGGAGCAGTCAAGTCTTTTTTATATGTGTGTATGTAGAAATAGGACAGGTTGAGGGGGAGAAGACAAAAGGAACATCAAATACTTGTAGCCACTGAACCCCTCCTTTATATTCCCCATCATACAGGGGAGATAGGTACAGTGGCAGTGGCTATGGTGGGCCCAGAAGCAGGACTGAGTTTATAGCCTTGGGTGAAAGAGTATAAGGCAACAGTTAAATTATTTTATGCTTAATGTTTATTGGCAAAAATGTCTTTAAAGCTGTACTGTTTAACTAGGGACTTAGCAGTCAGTCTCATGATTGAGATTGCTTAGGTTTTTGCACTCTCTCCCCTCATTAAAGATTACAAGGCAAAAAGGGGACCTTTTCAGTAAATGTTGTCACAATTAAGAGAGGACAGAGCATATTGCACTCTTATTTGAATATTTGGAACAGTTAAGGGCTTTTTTTTTTTTCCCCTTCATGAGCTCTTTTTTTATCCAGAACTAAAGCAGTAGGTTCTACAGTATGTCTGTCGATCATTTAGATTCGAAAGATGTCCTTCTTAGCAGTAATGTTTGAAATAGATACGTAGCTAAAACTTGGTGACTTGGAATGCTAGCAGCCTGGGGTGAGAAGGGACGCTCAATAAGCTGAGGAAATTTGATGGGAAATCAGCATACAGGTGTAAATTTGGAACACTGAAATGTCCATTTTATAGTCAAATTTCTGAGCTTAATTGCTATTTAAGAAGTAAAAAGTAGATTTTTAAAAACCTTCTATGGACAGATAAGCAGATAGGTGCTTGAGAAGGTCAGTGCTTTCTTCTACTACACCTGCTCTGCTTGCCTTTAAAATTTTCCTAGTAGCTGTGATATACTCATTCTAGCCCTGTTTGGATTTCTTTAGATCTAGTGTACTTTCATTTAACTTTATTGATTATGCTTTGATTATCTTATCAATGCCTTTTTTTTTCCTTCTTTTTAAAGCCTTGATAAATTTGCTGAAGTTCCTTATGTCAAATGAGACTGTACTTTTGGCAAAGCACAACATTTTTACGTTAGCTCTTATGGTGAGTAGCAAAAAAACATATTTATTTTTCTGAAGTTATACTCTAGGGCAGAAATGGGCTGGTTTGAGACAGGAGCTGGTGTTCTAAGGATTAAACTATAGGGGGATACCAGGCCTTTATTTTCCCTTTGGATCAGAATCTCTCTACTAGTGCTTCCACTTTCATCTGTGTCTTTGGAGAACCTGGGGCTCTTTCATGAAATAATGGTAAGACACACTGTTATATAATATTCCCACCACACAGATATAAGAGGTATAAATTAATTTCAAGGAGATCGATGATATGGAAAGGTAGAAAATAATTAGAAAGTGATGAGTTTTCAGTAATTATTACTTTAATGTAATCTATTGAATGGTAAGTTTTATAGAAGTTAGTTTTTAATAATGACTGTTTAATAACCAGCTAACAAAATTGCTGAAAATTTAACTGCTCTTGAAAGACAGTAAGAGCTGGCTATGTAGCACACTACTGATAATACCCTTCTGAGTCTTCATAGTATGATGTCTATATATGGGCTTTTGCTTCTTTTTTAGATTGTGAACCTATTTAATATGTTTATCACATATGGAGATACATTCCTGCCCACCCCCAGCAGTTACGATGAACTCTACTATGAGATTATCCGCATGCACCAGAGCTTTGACAACCTCTACTCTATGGGTAAGCTGTCTTCTTTTTATTTTTCTCTCCCTGTCAGCTGTGACTTTTGGTCTGTGAAAGGAAAAGACTGCAAAAGATTCTCCCCTAGTTGCTTGGTGCCCTTACTTGGCACAGAACTATAGTAGTCTCCTTTTCTCAGTTAATAAGATAGTATGTATGGACTTCCTCACCTTTAGGAACTCAGAATTCATCTCTGTAGAAAGCTGGTTAGCATCCCTGTAGCCCTTTCTTGATGTTTGTGAAAGAGAGAAAATAGGGAGGCTTGTAGATTTAGTGAATGCCAGTGAGATGGGTGTGAGAGTGGGTGGGAGTTGACAGCAGCAAATAGAAGAGCTTGGATCCCAAAGGAACATTGTGTGATTTGAGAAGGTACAAGGTTTTAAGGATTTTTAATGTACCTATGTATTTTTAGCATAACTTAGAAGAGGAAGTGGGCATTAGATAAAAATATTTTTTGCAAAAACCTTTAGGTGATTGGCTCACCAAAAATTTACTCTGCAGCCATGAGTATTCCTTATTTCTATAAGAGGTCATGTATCCCTGTAAGTTTGAGTAAAGAGTCTAATCAGACCTACCTAAGTTTAAAGGTCAAGAAAGATTTCTTTAGATTTCCCAGAAATAGTAAGCCACGTAATAAAGCTGTCTATTAAAAAGCTCCAGCTTATTAGCTTTATTGGGATATAATTGATATATGATAAACTGCATTCTTTTTTTTTTTTTTTTGGCCATGCTGAGGTATTTGGGATCTTAGTTCCCTGACCAGGGATGGAACCCACACCCCCTGCAGTGGAAGCATGGAGTCTTAACCACTGGAGCCTCAGGGAAGTCCCAAACTGTACTTTTTAAAGGATACAGTTTTTGATAAGTTTTGGCATGTGTATATGTACATGAAGCTGTCATTAAATCAAGATATTGTGCATATCCACCCCCTCTTCCCAGATTTCCTTGTGTCCTTTTATGTCACTTTTACCACCTCTGTCCCTTATCCCTAGGCAACCCCTGATCTGCTTTCTGTCACTATTGATTAGTTTACTTTATCCTTATTGTTGGGACTGTTTATGAAAAGTTCATCTTCTGCTTGGGACTCCTGTATGTATCATGAGTAAAGTAGAGGGGATTTGGAATACCTGGAGAAAGAGTAGAAGCAAAGAGTGGAAAGAAGGATTGCCTAGGAGGAAATTTTTTTTTCTATTTCCCTGCTTTCTCATTCTCAGTGTAATAGCTTTAGCATCATGTCAGCTCCCCTCAGAATAAGAGGTTCCCATTGTCATATCAAGTCACACGTCTTTTTTTTTTTTTTTTTTTGGAGATAGGAAGTCTTCCATTAGAACTCTCTAGCAAATTTCCCATTGGCAGACTGTTCTCAGTGTACCCTGGTGTGGTTTGCATCTACCTGGCTTTTACTGATGTTCTTGTTTTCAAGAATATAGAATTTTCCAAGGGTGAAGAGCTGCTCCAGAGGCTTTAGTACCCATTAATGGATGAATAAAGAGGAAAGGAAGGAGAGTTGGAGTGGGGGAGGTATTTTATAGATGTCTGATTTACCTGTGTGGTTGAGCTGTGTACACAGTCAAATGAGATCAATGTTTGCAGCTATAGCAACAAGAGAAGAAAGGATATCTGGGAATGCTCAGATGCACTAAGAAAGTACAAAGAGGAAAGTGAATTTTACTTAATGAAACACAATAAATAGTAGGAGGTGGCATGTTTTAGTACTCTCCATTTTGTGTAAAGTATGATGAAACTTCAGGTGGGAAAAAAATGTATTTTTTAGTCAGGTTTTTTGAAGTATAATTTACATATACTGTATAATTCACCATTTTTTTTGTTTGTTTGTTTTTAATTCACCATTTTTAATGTACTGTTCTGAATTTCAGCAAATGCATATAGAAGTATAATCATAGAAAAATCAAGATTTAGAAGAGTTTTACCATCTCAAAAACTTCTCTCTTCTCTGTACTCCTGTGAGATCAACTCCTCCACCCACGCCTGTGAGATCAGCTCCAAGCCAATTTCTAGCAACCACTGATCTATTCCTTGTCGCCATGATTTTGCCTTTTCTAAAATAGTATATAGATGACATCATACTGTTTTTTGAGTCTGGCTTCTTATACGTAGTAATTTGTTTGAAGTTATCCATGTTGATGCATGTATTAGTAGTTTGTTCCTTTGTATTATGGGTAATATTCCATTATGGGAATATGCCAGTTTAGCTTATTCATTTATCAGTGGAAGGACATTTAGAAAGTTTCCAGTTTTTAGGGATTGTAAATAAAACCTCTGTAAACATTTTTGTACACAGCTTTATGTGAACACAAGTTTTCTTTTTACTTGGTACCTTCTTGAACATATGGAGCATATTTACAATAGCTGTTTTAATGTCCTTTCCCACTAACTCCATCATCTCTCTTCATGTCTAGGTCTGTTTTATTGACTGATTTTTCTCCTGCTTATGGGTTATGTTTTTCTGGCTTCTTTGGGTTTTTAAAATTAATTAATTAGGCTGCATTGGGTCTTAGTTGTGGCACATAGGATCTTCATTGCATCATGTGGGATCTTTGGTTGCAGCACATGGACTCTCTAGTGGGATCTTAGTTCTCTGACCTGGGATTGAACCCATGTTCCCTGCACTGCAAGGTGGATTCTTTTTTTTTTTTTGAAAAATTTTTATTGAAACAGTTGATTTACAATTTGTATCAGTTTCAGGTATAGAGCAAAGTGATGTGTGTGTGTGTGTGTGTGTGTGTGTGTGTACATATGTGTATTCTTTTTTAGATTCTTTTCCACAATAGGTTATTATAAAATATTGTGTATAGTTCTGCAAGGTGTTTTCTTAACCACTGGACCACCAGGGAAGACCCTTTTCTACTTCTTGAATGCTGGTAATTTTTAAATTGGATTTTGAACATTGTGATGTTAATGTTGTAAGGTTTGATTTTATTATGTTCCTTTATATAATGTTAGACTTTGTTCTGGAATGCAGTTATGTTGTGTGGAATCAGTTTCATCCTTTTAGGATTTGCTTTTAAGGGTTATTAAGTTGGGTTAGGAGAAGGCAGTGGCACCCCATTCCAGTACTCTTGCCTGGAAAATCCCATGGATGGAGGAGCCTTGTGGGCTGCAGTCCATGGGGTCGCTAAGAGTCGGTCACGACACGTGCACCCCAGTGTTCATTGCAGCACTGTTTATCATAGCCAGGACATGGAAGCAACCTAGATGCCCATCAGCAGACGAATGGATTGCCTGGAGAATCCCAGGGACGGGGGAGCCTGGTGGGCTGCTGTCTATGGGGTCGCACAGAGTCGGACACGACTGAAGCGACTTAGCAGCAGCAGCAGCAAGTTGGGTTAAGAGCAACTTTTATTATAGGTTAATTTGGCCAGATTACTAATGCAGTACCCATCTGAAGATTCTTCCTGATAATTCATATATTAGTAGGTTTTTCTACTCTTGCTGGTGGAAATGCAAATTATTTTGTTTGTAGAGCCTTCCATGAGCTCTACAGTTTCTTCTCTTTTCCAGTGGTTCTTTACCCCCAGGCTTGAGTAGTTTTCCCTTTCTTACGTGTAGATCAGTGCTCAGCAGAAGACGTAAGAGTACCCCTCTACAAACTTACAGAATACCTTGTTAAACTCCCTCCTCTACAGTACTCTACCCCACAAATTCTAGGTGCTTTGGCCTGTCCAGTTGCTAATCTCTGTGTCTTTGATTTGGCAAGCTTCTGGATTCTGTTTAAGTTCCTCTTTGCCCTGTAGATTGGAAACTTTTTCACACAGTAAGCTGGGATAATTCTTGGGCTCGCCTTGTTTGTTTTCCATCTTCAAGGATCACAGTTCTGTATACCCGTTGTCCAATGTCTGAAAGTTGTTGTTTCTTATATTTTGTTCAGTTTTTTCTTGTTTACGGTAGAAGGGTTAATTATATCTTGTTACCTCATCATGGCTAGCAGAGGGAGACTCTTGATAAAGACACACATTTAATATTCCTATGGCAATTAAGCTACTGCAGTGATAGCCACTGACAAGGAAGGACCTCGACGCAAGCTACCCTGAACCATAAATGATTCCATGTTTTGAACTGTTTTTTTCCTTTTAGAAAAAGTTAATTACCAGTACTAAAGAAAAAACAAGGTGCAAATTTTATTGTTTAATACAATCTCTCCTTTCTAGTATGACCACTATTTTCATATGGGCTTCCCAGGTGGCACTAGTGGTAAAGAACCCCCCTGTTAATGCAGGAGATGTAAGGGATGTGGGTTTGATCCCTGGGTTGAGAGAATCCCCTGGAGGAGGGCACAGCAACCTGTTCGAGTATTCTTGCCTGAAGAATCCCATGGACAGAGAAGCTTGGTGGGCTACTGTCCACAGGGGTCGCAAAGAGTCAGACACAACTGAAGTGACTTAGCATGCATGCATGCATTAGTCTACTTTATGCATAGTTTTACATAATTGTGGTCATGTTATCCTACTTCTTTTTTAACTATTATAGAACATTTAATTTTTTTTGGTAGTTTTCTTAAGTTTCTTTCTCTCTACCCCCTCTCTGCTTTTGCATAGTACGGGTACAGTTTATTGAACCATTCTTTCCTTTCATGAAAATTATGGTTGTTTCCAGTTTTTGCTGTTACATCAGTCTCTTTTTTAAATGGCTGCCTGGTATGCTGTTTTTGTGTACCATACTTTGTACTACCTAAATGATAACCTTAGCTTGAGGCGTTTGGGCATTTCGAGATAATTTTATGTTTAAATTTGGGAACTTAGAAAATAATGTAAAAGCCAATGGCTTGGAAAGCTTGTTTCCCGTGGAAATGCAGTGATGAGGACATCTGGGTGTCTGTTCACTAAGGAACAGAAGTGATAGGATGTTAACAGAGAAATAATCCATGAACAGAGTTGAATACCTCTCTGAGGTAAGGGGAGTAAAATTCAGCTCAATTCCACAAATACTAGATCCTCACCATCAGAGAATTTATGATTTAGTGGAGGGTCTAGTGGAAAACAGATATATCTAAACAGTTTTTGCAACTGAGTTGAAAAAAATTTGTCTGATCTGCTTGAAACAGTTTTGTTCATTCATGAATAAATTTGTGCATACACTTAATGAAACCCTGAGTTGAGACTGAAAAGCTCTAACTTGAAACTGAGTTCCCCTGCACTAAATCTTGTAAATTAGGAAAGCAGCACTCTGATAATGTTTTATTAAGGCTTCCATCTTCCCTTTCGTAAAATTGGATGAATTTATAAAAATGAAATATTGCTGAAGTAGATGCAGAGCAGCCAGATGAGTTTTCTTTCCCTATAACAGCTATATGCCCTCCCTCTAGTACAGCGGCTGCTACTACTCCTCTTGCTAGACGAATACTGGTCAGGAGTTGGTAGTGATGGTACCTATGCAGATTGGTTATACGCTTTTTAATGTTAGGCTCTGATTAACTTAACTAACTAACTTTCTCCTTTGAGAAAGTCTTAAGTATATTCTTGCATTTGTTTGGAAGACAGTCTATTTAATAGCTAATACTAATACTTATGTAACAATTACTGTGTGCCAGGTACTGATCTAAGGTTTTATATAACTTACTTGATTTTCATAATAATCCTTTCATGTAAGTATTGCTGTTTTTCTCTAGTAAGTGGCAAAGGCTAGTCTTGGACACCAACAGTTGGCTTCAGAGTTCACACTCTTAACCACTCAGTGTATCAAGTACAGGCTATAGGACCATTCCCTCCAGGTTTAAATTCTAGCCCCATTACTTACAGTTCTGTGAATGAACTTGATTGATTAATTGTTTGTCTCCTCTGAGTCTCATATGTGTGCTGTATTGTATATATTCTTTGTCCAGTTTCTGGCACATAGTAGACTCTCTACATGTTTAGTTCATATTCGTTATTCACTCATTAAAAATATATACTTAGAGTGCCCACTGTATGCTTGTTCTTTCAAGGAACGCTTGTGCTGGTTTGTCTCTCTTCTGAAAGAGTATAGGTACTGTAATGTGTGGCCCTGAAGCTCATAGCTGGTAGACAATATGCATGTGTGTGTGCTAAATTGCTTCAGTCGTGTCTGACTCTTTGTGACCCTATGGGCCATAGCCCACCTGGCTCCTCTGTTCATGGGATTCTCCAGGCAAGAAATATTGGAGTGAGTTCCAGAGTATCTTCCCAACCCAGGGATCAAACCCAAGTCTCTTACATCTCCTGCATTGGCAGGCGGGTTCTATACAACTAGCACCACCTGAGAACTATATTTCCATCATCCCTTCTGTGAGTAAGGGTGTAAGAGACTTTGGTGAGAGAAGGGAAGAATATTCCAGTTGATTCATGTTGCAGGTCACACCGTTAAGTCAAGGGAGCTAAAGTATGTTACTCTTTGATTGAAACATGACCATCCTCTGTCTGACAAGATTATTTATCCTATTTGACCCAGTTTAGACCTTTAGGAGAAAGATATACTGTATGTGGAACAGGTAGGGACACTTACTCAGCTGGCCGATTCCACTAAATCGGCCCAGCTGTTAGGGAAGTGATTAATGTGGCAATCAGGTTACCCTCACATCACCACTCCAGTATAGATTTTAACTGAATGCAAAAACTAAGTATGGAAACATTTCAGCGGGGAGTGGAGAGAGGGAAACCCAAGACAGAGGAGTAGAATATTTTGATAGAAAATGAAAGAAAGAGGAAAAAAATTGCGGGAAAGATAGTTAAGAATAAGTCCTTATATTTTTTCTCTAGATTAGAATGTCTTAAATAGAAGATTGGCACAGACTCCATTTGGTTTTTCCAATAGTGATATTCTGCATTGTGTCTTCACTCCTCATATTTGTTTAATACCAGTGGTCTGACACATCTTTGTTCTTTCCTTTTTTACAGTCCTGAGGCTTTCTACCAATGCAGGCCAGTGGAAAGAAGCAGCTAGCAAGGTGACTCACGCGTTGGTTAATATCAGGTAAGAAGTGAGGATTTATCTCTTTCAGAGTTCTGTGGTTAATCCTGAGGTTTATTGTACCTTTCTAAGTGAAATGTGTTGAACATCACTACTATTTTAAGCCCTGATGTCTGTAGGAGTGGAAGAAATTTTCGTATTTGATCAAGAAAAGCAGGAATGCATGTGACTTTCATTTTGTCATATTGACATAGCTCACGGAATTTGCTCTTTATGAATTTTCTTATCAGGAGATAGTTGGCAACTTTTCAGGCCTCTTTGTTGCCAAAGTGGTTTCTGTGTATAGGCCATCTGAAAGCTTTTCTCTGGAAATTTTTTTCTGCCTTTCTCCATGAGTTGAATGAATGACTCATGGGATCTGGAACTTTTGACGTTTTGCTTTACATGGCTATTTCTATTTGTGGTAAACAGAGCCAAATGGAGCTCATGGGGCTAAGTCATTTTAGGTTCCTTATGAAACAGCATGGCAATTACAGAGTGCTATATGTATTGGATAAAATTGAGTCAGACATGGAGTTGGTTTAGGGTCTTGAGAAAATAGCACACACTCACAGGAGAGAGCTGTTTGTAAATGGAGAGAATGTGCTTTCAGTGTCATGAAACCTAAAGCTGACTTGTGTTACATTCCTCGCTCCCTTTGTGCCTATCATTTTTTATTTTCTCAGCAATTACTATATTGCTCTTGCAAACAATTGAAAAATTAACATTGAGTAGAAGAGGCAAACCCAACAGATGGGGAAACTTGATTTAGCTCCAGATGTAAGTTTTGCCAGACATTCCCAGTAATAGTAATGCACATTTACAACTTGGTATAGATTCTAATTTGTGACAGAGCTGAGATTCAATATTTATTTCTATATCTTTCTTTTCTTCCCACCCCTTTCTTTTAAGATAAAATGTCCTGTCCCTGCAGTGACTTACTAGTGTTTGACAAGTCTGGGAACAAAAGAAAAAGTGTGAAATGTGTGTTTTGGGAGGACGGGGGTGAGGGAGCAGGTAGGTGAGATGTGCTAACAAGATTGCATTGAGGGTATTGAAGGTTATCTGCCTTACCTGACCCCCAGAGACATTTTGCAGCAAACATGGTTTTATAAATCTCACACCTTCATGTATATTTGCATCTAGCAAATAAGCCAGATACTGTAGTAAATCCTTATGATAAATGTGACTTTCTGTAGGAATGAGGAATTACAACTGCCTTCTCCTAAAGAGCCCTTTGTGACTGAAGGACAGTATGACAAATGTGGGTGTTTGAAAGAAACACCAGATTCTGGACTACAGAATGAAGTGCATGTGGGTATAATTTATGTTGTATTTATTCATGTATTTACTTAGGGTTTTCAGACAGTGCCTTTTCATCTGGGGCTTGTTTGCTTGATCACAGTCTTTTATGCTTCCTTTATCTTCTGCATTGTTGCTTTTCCTTTCAGTGGCTTCTGGTTTGGCTGCTGCCCTTATTCTTCCCAGGGGCCATCAAACAGCTGATTTAAAACTATTGACCTGTCTTTTCTTTGAATACCCCAGAAAGGACTGGCCTGGGCTTAGAGCAGATGCCTATAACCATGACATGGTTCTCTTTGTAAGTCAGGCCTATACCTTCATTTTCATTCCTCAAACTTCTTGATGAACTTGCTGCAGACAGTAATTATATCATCTTCACTGTTGCTAATGAATTAGACTTGGAATATATGTAGAAAATATCAAAGATCCAGTCAGTTTTTTCAAGAGATTACTGGAAAGATGTTTTAGAATATCACTTATCACACTAACACCAGATCAGGGGAGTATATTGGTGATGCTAAGCCTGCAGAAATTTACTTTTTTCCTTTTTAAAATTTATTTTCATTTAGAAAGTACTAAACTAGGTACTGCTCTTTCAAAAATTGCTGTCTTCTTCAGTCATCAAACCCTATAGAGTATACTTTTTAATTAATGAGGAAACTTAAGTCTTGAAGATATTTGAATTGCAAAAAGTCTCACAATTCTTGTGTGTCAAATCTGAGGATTAATCATAGTTCTTCTAATTCCAAATCCAGGGTTCTTTCTTTTATATTGTAACGCCTCCTTTAGTGTTACTATGGAGGTAAGCAGAAAACTCAGTATGATGTATTGAAAGGAGCTTGAGCATGGGAATTTGAGTTAGAGAAACTGGGTTTTTAATTTTTGTCTCTACCACTTAATATGTGACCTTGAGCAACTTATCTCTGGACCTCTTCCTACTATCTATAAAATGGAGGTCATGAGGATATCAGTTGTTTTATAGAGAAGCAGTTGTCAGACTTATGTATGTTATAGTACTTAGAAAACTATAAAATACTGATCATTTCGTTTAGCATAATATCTTTACAGTTCATCGCCAATGTAGCACTTGTCAGAATTTCCTTCCTTTTTAGGCTGAGTAATATTCCAAGTATATAGGTGCCACATTTTGTTTATCCATCATCCACTGGTGAGATCCCAAGTGAATTGCTTCCACCTTTTGGTTGTTGTGTTTTTGGCTATTTGTACATGGGTGTACAAATATCTGTTCAGTTCCTGCTTTTGCTTCTTTTGCAACTATACCCAAAAGTAGAATTGGTGGATTGTGTAGTAAGCCTATGTTTAATGGATAGATGCAAAGAGCCGACTCAGTGGAAAAGACCCTGATGCTGGGAAAGATTGAGGGCAGGAGGAGAAGGGGGCAACAGAGGACGAGATGGTTGAATGGCATCATCAACTCAACGGACATGAGTTTGAGCAAACTCTGAGAGTTGATGATGGACAAGGAAGGCTGGCATGCTGCAGTCCGTGGGGTCACAAAGAGTTGGAAACGACTGAGCATCTGAACAATAACCATATTTAATGGGGCTTCCCAGGTGGCGCTAGTGGTAAAGAATCCGAATGCCAGTGCAGGAGACACAAGAGATGCTGGTTGAATCCTTGGGTCTGGAAGATCCCCTAGGGTAGGAAGTGGCAAGCACTACAATATTCTTGCCTGGAAAATTCCATGGATGGAAGAGCCTGGTGGGCTAGAGTCCATGTGGCACCCAGAGTCAGATACAATTGAGCAACTGAGCACACCTCAGTTCAGTTGCTTAGTCATGCCTGACTCTTTGCGACACCATGGACTGCAGCACGCCAGGCTTTCCTGTCCATCACCAACTCCTGGAGCTTATTCAGACTCATGTCCATCGAGTCAGTGATGGCATCCAACCATCTCATCCTCTGTCGTCCCCTTCTCCTCCTGTCTTCAGTGTTTCCCAGCATCAGGGTCTTTTCCAATCAGTCAGTTCTTTGCATCAGGTGGACAAAGTATTGGAACTTCAGCTTCAGCATCAGTCTTTCTAGTGAATATTCAGGACTGATTTCCTTTAGGATTGACTGGTTTGATCTCGTTGTAGTCCAAGGGACTCTCAAGAGTCTTATCCAACACCACAGTGCAAAAGCATCAATTCTTCAGCGGTCAGCTTTCTTTATGGTCCAACTTTCACATCCATACATGACTACTGGAAAAACCATAGCTTTGACTTGACGGATCTATGTTGGCAAAGTAATGTCTCTGCTTTTTAATATGCTGTTTAGGTTGGTCATAGCTTTTTCCCCAAAGAGCAAGCATCTTTTTAATTTCATGGCTGCAGTCACCATCTGCAGTGATTTTGGAGCCCAAGAAAATAAAGTCTGTCACTGTTTCCATTGTTTCCCCATCTATTTGCCATGAAATGATGGGACCAGATGCCATGATCTCAGTGTTTTGAATGTTGAGTTTTAAGCCAGCTTTTTCTTTCTCCTCTTTCACTTTCATGAAGAGGTTCTTCAGTTACTCTTCATTTTCTGCCATAAGGGTGGTGTCATCTGTGTATCTGAGGTTACTGGTATTGTTCCCAACAATCTTGATTCCAGCTTGTGCTTCATCCAGCCCAACATTTCACCTGATGTACTCTGCATATAAGTTAAATAAGCAGGGGGACAATATGCATCCTTGATGTACTCCTTTCCCAATTTGGAACCAGTCCATTGTTCCATGTCCAGTTCTGACTGTTTCTTCATGACATGCATACAGATTTCTCAGGAGGCAGGTAAAGTGAAAATGAAAGTCATGTTCAACTCTTTGCCACCCCATGGACTATACAGTCCAGGATTCAAATTCTCCAGGCCATAATACTGGAGTGGGTAACCTTTCCCTTCTCCAGGGGATCTTCCCAACCCAGGGATCGAATCCAGGTCACCCACATTGCAGGTGGATTCTTTACCAGCTGAGCCACAAGGGAAGCCCAAGAACACTGGAGTGGGTAGCCTATCCCTTCTCCAGTGGATCTTCTCAACCCAGGAATCGAACTAGGGTCTCCTGCATTGCAGGCAGATTCTTTACCAACTGAGCTATCAGGGAAGTCCTAGGTAAAGTGGACTGATATTCCCATCTCTTTAAGAATTTTTCTGTTTGTTGTGATCCACACAGTCCAAGGCTTTGGCATAGTCAATAAAGCAGAAATAGATGTTTTTCTAGAACTCTCTTGCTTTTTTTATGATCCAGCGGATGTTGGCAGTTTGATCTCTGGTTCCTTTGCCTTTTCTAAATCCAGCTTGAACATCTGGGAGTTCACGGTTCATGTACTGTTGAAGCCTTGCTTGGAGAATTTTCAGCATTGCTTTGCTAGCATGTGAGATGAGTGCAATTGTGCAGTAGTTTGAACATTCTTTGGCATTGCCTTTCTTTGGGATTGGAATGAAAACTGCCCTTTTCCAGTCCTGTGGCCACTACTGAGTTTTCCCAATTTGCTAGCATATTGAGTGTAGTACTTTCACAGCATCATCTTTTAGGATTTGAAATAGCTCAACTGAGTTCCATCACCTCCATTAGCCTTGTTTGTAGTGATGCTCCCCAAGGCCCATTTGACTTCACACTTCAGGATGTCTGGCTCTAGGTGAGTGATCACACCATGGTGATTATCTAGGTCATGAAAATCTTTTTTGTATAATTCTTCTGTGTATTCTTGCCATCTCTTCTTAATATCTTCTGCTTCTGT